ATCGGCCTAGATCTTTGTTGAAAGCGTGCGTTACCATTCTGGAAAGTAGAGATTTAGACCTTTCTAACGCATACCTGCTCAAAGTTTAAGGTTACGTGAGCTGCACGCAATGTTCCGTCGAAGTCGGCGGACTTAATCTCTTGTACGCCCTCCAGAATCGCTCGCTTTCCATCACTCCCTACACTGGTCCTACTGGAGGTCTTGCTGAGCCTCGTGAGCCTGCGTCTTGCCCTGCGTCGCCTGTCCGTGCTGCTCGCACTAGTGGTCGCGGTTCGCGTCAGCGTCCTCCTCCTGTCCATGGCACGCCCCGGATGTCTCTGCGTCCGTCCACTGCTCCTTTGCGTGCCCCTTTGCCTTCTCCTCCTGAGTCTTCTCTTCCTGCTCTTGCCGACCCGGAGTCAAACTCTCTTCGTGCTGCCAGTCCTACTATCAGGCGTCTCCTTGGTACTGTTGTCACTGACCCTTCCTTTGAGTCCACTGCTGCGTCTGCCCTAGTTGCTGAGCTCGTCGACTTTGCTGCTTGCTGTCGTCTAGACTACGCTACCAGTATTGTTGCTGAGTCTGAGTCAATCTGTCCTCCGTCCGTCATAGTAAGTGTGCCCTTGGCACGGACGTCCTTGAGGAAAGGCAGGAGGAGTTCCACTGCTTGGCCGTCTCCCTCAGGGGTAAGGAGTACGGACACGAGATGAGGTGAAGCAGTAGCCAAACACTGGAACTCCTCCTGCCTGTCCTCAAGGACGTCCGTGCCAAGGGCACACTCACCCCCGACGGACGGAGGACAGACAGACTCAGACTCAGCAACAAGACTAGCAGCGTAGTCTAGGCGACAGCGAGCAGCAAAGTTGACGAGCTCAGCAACTAGGGCAGACGCAGCAGTGGACTCAAAGGAAGGGTCAGTGACAATAGTAGCAAGGAGACGCGTGACAATCGGACTGGCTGCATGAAGAGAGTCCGACTCCGGGTTGGCAAGAGCAGGAAGAGAAGACTCAAGAGGAGAGGGCAAAGGGGCACGCAGAGGAGCAGTGGACGGACGCAGAGACATCCGGTGCGTGCCAGGGACAGGAGGAGGATGGTGACACGAACCACAACCACTAGTGCGAGCAGCACGGACAGGCGACGCAGGGCGAGACGCAGGCTCACGAGGCTCAGCAAGACCTCCAGTAGGACCAGTGTAGGGAGAAGGAGCAGGCAGTGGGGAGGCTGGCTGTAACTGTAACTGTGACGGGACAGGCTGTGGACACGCGAGGGGAGGAGGAGGACAAGTAGAAGGCGGAAGACCAAGAACCTGCTGAAGGAGCGGAACGAAGTACAGCCGAGGCCGCGCGGCGACTCCTGACACAACAGGGACAGCACCAGTTTCCTTAGTGGTAGCACCAGCGCCAGCAGCACCTCTTGCTTCAGTACCTCCAGCAGCACCAGTAGCACCCTCATCAGGACCGCCTCCAGGACCGATAGCAGTAGCCTCAGCGCCAACACCGTCAGCAGCTCCAGCTCCAAAAGTACCCGCAGGCCCAGCAGCTCCAGCACTCCCAGTACGAGCACCTCTGGGACTCGCGGCACCAGCACCCTTAGCAGCCGAAGAAACTCCAGCTCCAGCAGCACGCCTCCAGCGCCGGGCAAACCACTCGTGAAGCTCCTGTGGAGAGAGTGGCTCCCGCTGGACGAAGCACCCGGAGAACCGCCAGGTACAGCACCGCCAGACATTACACGAGCAAGCCCGGCTCCCTCTGGCTCCGCACCCCCAGGCGTAGCACCCCCAGGCTCAGCACCCCCAGGCGTAGCACCCCCAGGCTCAGCACCCCTAGGCTCAGCACCCCCAGACTCAGCACCCCTAAGCTCAGCACCCCCAGTCGTAGTACCCTCAGGCTTAGCACCCCCAGGCATAGCACCCACACGCTCAGCACCCCTAGAGTCAGCACCCCAAGGCTCAGCACCCCCAGAGTTAGCACCCCCAAGCTCAGCACCGTCAGCAGCACCAGAGTCACCAGCGACCTCGACAGGCTCAACTGCTTCTTCTTGGGACACACCTGAAGGGGCACGACCCTGAGGGGGAAGGGGGTCTATCGGGGGGGGACCTGGCACAAGGAAGAGCAGTGGCGGGGGGAGGGACGGAGTGCGGTAGGGGAAGGGACGGTAGTAGGGGACTGACTCGTCAAACGTGACGTCCTGAGAGGACAGAACACGGCGAGAGGTGGGGTGGCAGAACTGCCACCCTGGCGCGTCAGGGGGGAAGCCTAGGAAGACGCAGGGAGCAGCACGAGGGGACAGCTTGTCCGCAGACAAGTCGCGGACAAACGCCCGAGATCCCCAGACACGGAACGCATACGCATCGCCAACCTTCCCCGTCCACAGCAAAGCTGGGGTGGTCTCCGGCATGGAGACCCTGGGCTGAAGGTTGATCTGATGCGCCGCGTACTGAACCGCAAACTTCCACAGAAAATGGGGGGCAGCCGCATGCATCATGGACGTACGGGCGACATCCATGACCATGCCAATGCGGCGCTCAGCAATCCCATTTTCCTGTGGAGGTTCCGGAAGCGTGAAGGTCTGGCGGATGCCTCGTGCACGATAGTAGGCTCGCAGAAGGCCAGAGGAGAACTCTCCGCCTATGTCAAAGTGCAAACGCAGAACAGGAAAGTCCAAGCCGAAGCTCTGCCTGAGCTGGAGACGAGCTGCGCGGATCTAGTCGATCAACACCTCAGTGACATCACCCTTGCTGCGCAAGGGGAAGACTGTGGTGTAACGCGAGTAGTCGTCAACCACCAGCAGGAAGTAGCGCTCGTGACCCTGTCCACGGACGCGGGCCGGTCCCCACACGTCCATGTGAAGCATCTGCAACGGAGCCTCTGTCGGACGAAACTGGGAGGAGTGAGGGGCAGCCCGCTGCCGCCCCTCGACACAGGGGACGCAGGTAGGGCCAGGCCCCGGTGGAAGGGGAGGGAGGTACCGGGGAAGACCAGAGACAAGGACACGGGAGGCCATGCCTCGGAGACGAAGTAGGGAGGGGTGACCAAGGCGGTGGTGCCAGAGGAGAGTCTCGTGAGACATGAGGCGACACGAGCAGGGGGCAGACTCACGACCAGACCTGGACGCTGCAGCAAACACCTGACCCGACGCAGCTACCTGACCAGACGTAGTGACTGGAGGAGACTCAGTGGTCAGTGTGTACAGGCTCGACCCGAGCCGGCGTGTAAACGTGGCCAGGTGTCGGCCTGTCCGAGCGTCCATGCTGTGGGTCACCCGCTGACTCGCAGGAGTGAACTGGTGAGACCCCGCATCCTGTAGGTCAGCACCACTCACCAAGTTCGTAGAGAACGAGGGGAGGTAAAGACCTGACAGGGTGCTAGAGGGGGCCGCCGGACACGGGAGGACAGTGGAGAAGTGAGCAAGGACAGGGCGCCCAGAGGGGTCAGCCAGAGAGACTGCAACTGGCCGACCAAGCCGCGTGAGTGTGGTGCGGTCTCGAAAGAAGGAGCGAGAAGCCCCCAAGTCAAGGGTGAAGGTGTGGGAGGCCGAAGCCGACGCAGTAACTGAGAGAGCAGACTCACCATGACCAGAGGGAGCAGACGCACCAGCACCTAGAGCAGCAGCCTCGCTAGCACCTAGAGCAGCAGCCTCACCAGTACCTAGCTCAGTAGTCTCAATGCACGTAGCTGCTAAGGGGGGGGGGATGTCCCGAGTGCGCTGCTGCTGCTGCTGCTGCTGGCGCTGACCACCACCGGAGCCGACCCTCTCCGCAGCGCCACCCCGACCAGCTCTGCCTCCTCCGCCGCCGCCTCCTCCTCCGCCGCCACCTCCGCCACCTCCGCTCCCACCGCCACCGCCGCCTCCGCCTCCGCCTCCACTGCCTCCACCAATACCTCCACCCTCGCCACCACTCCCACCACCACCCCCACCCCCTCCATTGCCTCCACCGCCACCTCCGCCACCCCCGCCAGCCCCTCCAGCGCCCTTGCTCCCCTTGCCCTTGCCGGGGCGGCGTCTCCCGCTCGGGGCAGACGCACCGCCGACAGACTCGAAACCAACGAGGTCGGCCGTAGAAGCAGAGGCAACAGAGGGCAAAAGGGGGGAGGGGGAACACCCCTCAAAGACGGGGGTGCGAGGGTCACCACGAGAGGCTCCTATAGGGACTATGCTCTTCTCGGCTGCTAGGAGGGCCTTCTCGAGGAGGTTAACGGTGAGAGTGGTGGGGCACACTGAGAGGAAGTGGTCCCTGACTACGCGGAGAGAGTTAGGGAGCCGGGTGACTATGTAGTAGAGGGTGATGTACATGGGGGGGGGTTCTTGGCGCAGAAATCAGCAGGAAGCGCAGCGCGGTAGCGAGTGTCACTAGTGCGGAGGTGCGTAATGAGGTCAGCGACTGTGGGAAAGGCAGCAAGGTCAGGGAAGAGGTACGGTAGCATGAGGCGGCTCAATGCAGCAGTGGCAGGGGAGGGAGTAGCGTGCAACTACAGCGTCGTACAAGGTCTGAGCACTCTTGTACTGGCTAAAGTGCGCACGCTCAGAGGTAGGCAGGTGGCGACGCACAGCAAGACGTGCAGCAGCATCGCGTGTGGCCCACTTTGAGCGAACAGTGGCGTCAGCGTCAGCACCAGGGGCAGGAGAGGCACCAGAGGGGAGTTCAAAGAGGGAGAGACCGTCTGCCCTATCGCACTGTAGGAAAAGCTGCAGGTCATCCATCCAGACGTCACAGTCAATGGCCCGACCCTCAGCGTCAAAAGCGAGGACACTAGGGGTAGTCATGACAGCAGTAGACTAGCAACGCAAAAAGTAGGGTAAGGGCAGTGCAGTGAAAGAGGCGCTGCTCTTATCGGACAGGGCGGCTCGGGCGGCTCGGCAAGAACTGCAGCTCGGCGGCTCGGGCGGCTCGGGCGGCTCGGCGGTACGGCGGCTCGGCAGCAACTGCGCCTCGGCGACTCGGCGGCTCGGGCGGCTCGGGCGGTACGGCGACTCGGCAGCAACTGCAGCTCGGCTGGCGGCGCTCTGGCGGCTTGGGCGGCTCAGGTGGCGCGGCGGCTCGGGCGGCTCGGGTGGCTCTGGCGGCTCGGCAGCAGCTCGGCGGCGCCGGCGGCTCGGTGGTGACGGCGGGGTCGCGTGGGGACGGCGGCGGGGCGAGCAGAGGCGGCGCCGGGGCCGGGAAGGGCAGCGCCGAGCCCGTAGGGGTAGGCGACGGGGCCAGCAGAGGCGGGGCCGGGGCCGAGAAGGGCGGCGTCGGGGCCGCAGGGGTAGGCAACGGGGCCAGCAGAGGCGGCGCCGGGGCCGCAGGGGTAGGAGACGGGGCCAGCAGTGGCGGGGCCAGGGCCGGGAAGGGCGGCGCCGGGGCCGCAGGGGTAGGCGACGGGGCCAGCAGAGGCGGCGCCGGGGCCGGGAAGGGCGGCGCCAGGGCCGCAGGGGTGGGCGACGGGGCCGATAGGGCGCCTGGGAGGGGGGGGGTCGCAAGGGCGGCTAGAGGAGGCTGCGAGGGCGGCACAAAAGGGCCGCGACGGCGGCGCGACGCGACGGAGCCGCGAGGGCGGCGAATCGGGGCTGCGAGGGCGGCGCGACGCGGCCGCTAGGGCGGCGCGACGTGACGGGGCCGCGAGGGCGACGCGACGGGGCCGCAAGTGCGACGCGACGGGGCCGCTAAGGTGGCGCGACAGGGTCGTGAGAGGGGAGCGCGACTCGAGCAGAGTCTGAGCGCGCTCTGGGCAGGAAAAAAAGGTGGTGGGCCCTAGGAACAGTTCCCACAGGTGAACCTGCTCGATACCATGAGAAAGTGAACGAGAATAATTGAACTATGAAATAGTTGGGTACAAGTACTAACCCTAATTGGGTTGTACCCCTTATGGGCTACCCCACTACAGCCTACACAGATGTATAAGCTACAATGTTCTGACAAGCGTCACCACACACACGGAGCACAAGCAAAGGGCCACAAGGCCAGTTCACATGCAGAGGTATACATGCAACAACGGCAGCACAGTGATCTCTACCTAGCAGAGAAAGCATGCAGGTACATATATAGATCAAAGTACAGGCAAAGTCTACAGCAAGTGAGAAAACGTGGGTACAAGGCCTAATAGAGTACAGAAACGCTGATGATCACCAAACGGAAGTGCCTTGGTGAATATATCAGCAGTGTTGGCCCAAATGGCCGCGTGAACAAGACGAAGCTGACCTCGCTGCTGCAACTCTCAAGCAAGGAAGTAACGCAGAGCGATGTGCTTCGTTCTAAGCTTCAGTCTGTGCTCCTGACACAAGGCAATGGCTGCCTTGTTGTCGACGTACAGCACTGGAGGAGAACAAGGCCGCTCTCCTAAGTCGGTCACCAGGTAGGTGAGCCAGCGTAGCTCCTGTGCAGCCATGGTTGTGGCGTAGATCTCAGCCTCACAACTGGAGCCGAAAACTGAAGACAATCGTGTAGAACACCAGGAAACTGAACCAGAGCCAAGGTTGAAGGTGTAACCCTGTGACGACCGCTGCGTAGCTAGGTCTTCAACCCTAGAAGCGTCCGAGTGCCCAGTGAGGACAACTGGGCTGCGCCCTCCAAGCACGAGCCCCATGCCCGATGTACAGCACAAGTAGTGCAGTACCCTCTTAGCAGCATCCATGTGCACCTTTCGGTGCCTACCAGGAGCCACGTAGCGAGCCACAAGGCCAAGAGGGTACGCAAGGTCAGGTCGAGTGCAGGTCATCAGGTAAATGAGGCAGCCGAATAGCTCTGGGTATGGGCCACTCAACTCTACGGACTCGTTCGAAGGTGGAGCTGAGAGCGAGTGGCCTGTAGCTAGAGGAGTGTGCTATGGCAAGGACCAAGTGAAGCCGAAGCGCTGAAGGACCTGCTGCACCATGAGTGACAGAGCCAGTGTGATGGTGCGGCGTGCTTTGTCCCGGGTGATCTGCAAGCCAAGGTAGTTGCGCAGCTCACCCAGGTCTGTGCACGTGTCGGCGGGGCCGCGTGGGCGGGGCCGTCCGGGCGTCCGCGCGGCGGCGGGGCGCGGCCGCGTCAGAGGCAGAGCGGGGCCGCGTCGGCGCCAGGGCGCGGCCACGTCAGCTGCACGGCTAGCGGGGCCGTGTCAGCAGTAGGGCGCGGCCGGGTCAGAGGCAGGGCGGGGCCGCGTCGGCAGCAGGGCGCGGCCGCGACCGCGGCATGGTGGGGCCACGTCAGCGGCAGGGCGGGGCCGCAACCGCAGCCTGACGGGGCCGCGACAGCGACCTGGTGGGGCCGCGTCGGTGGCATGGCGGTGCCGCGACCGCGGCAGGGTGGGGCCGCGTTAGCGACAAGGCGGGGCCGCGACCGTGGCAGGGCGGGGTCGCGTCAGCGGCAGGGCGGGGCCGCGTCAACGACCTGGAGAGGCGGCGCTCTGGCCTGACGGGCTTGCAGGGGCGGCTCGCGGGCCTGACGGGCCTGCAGGGGCGGCCCGTGGGCCTTACTAGTCTATAGGGGCGGCGCGCTAGCCTAGGGCAGCAAGAGGCAGCGCGAGGGCTGCAGGACGGCGCGCGAGCGCAGCACGTCACAAGCAAGGTAGGCAGGCGCAGGACAACACGTGGGGTAGCGTGGTAATCGCAACGGTAGGTGGGCCCGAAAAAAAAGACGGTCCTAGGGACCTAGTGTTCTGATACCATGTTAGAATCTAGCAGCAGGAATGAATGCACTATGGAAGAGCTGGGTACAAGTATGAAACCTTAAACAGGGCTATACCCCATATTGGCTACCCCACTACAGCCTACACACATATAACATGCATATACGTTGACACCTGCGGCCGAGGACGAGCACGCTGCGGCCGATGACGAGCAGGCTGCGCGCGATGACGAGAAGGCTGCGCCCAATGACGAGCAAGCTGCGGCCGATGGCGAGCAAGCTGCGGCCGATGACGAGCAAGCTGCGGCCGATGACGACCAAGCTGCGGCCGATGACGAGCAAGCTGCGACCGATGACGACCAAGCTGTGGCCGATGACGACCAAGCTGCGGCCGATGACGACCAGGCTGCGGCTGATGACGAGCAAGCTGCGGCGGATGACGAGCAAGCTGCGGCCGAAGACGAGCAAGCTGCGGCCGAAGACGAGCAAGCTGCGGCCGAAGACGAGCAAGTTGCGGCCGAAGACGAGCAAGCTGCAGTCAAAGACGAGCAAGCTGCGGCCGAAGACGAGCAAGCTGCGGCCGATGACGAGCAAGCTGCGGCCGATGACGAGCAAGCTGCGGCCGATGACGAGCAAGCTGCGGCCGATGACAAGCAAGCTACGGCCGAAGACGAGCAAGCTACGGCTGGAGACGAGCAAGCTACGGCCGATGACGAGCAAGTTGCGGCCGATGACGAGCAAGCTGCGGTCGTTGACGAGCAAGCTGCGGCCGATGACGAGCAAGCTACTGCCTATGACGAGCAAGCTGTGGCGGATGACGAGCAAGGTGCGGCCGATGACGAGCAAGCTGCGGCCGATGACGAGCAAGCTGCGGCCGAAGATGAGCAAGCTGCGGCCGAAGACGAGCAAGCTGCGGCCGAAGACGAGCAAGCTGCAGAAATGTGACATGCCGCAGCTGAAGGAGCTGGATGTGGTACTTTAACAAGGTGCAGCCGGGATGGTGAGAGGCAGATTAATAGTGGATGAGAGGCAGATTACCCAGCTGTGTGTGCGCGAATGCGGGTGGAGCAATGAGCAGTTGAACACCGTTTAACGGCCGTGGATTGATGTGGAGAAATAATACTGTTGGGATGCATGGCATGTGCTGGGATGCATGGCATGTGCTGGGATGCATGGCATGTGCTGGGATGCAGGGCATGTGCTGGGATGCATGGCATGTGCTGGGATGCATGGCATGTGCTAGGATGCATGGCATGTGCTGGGATGCATGGCATGTGCTGGGATGCATGGCATGTGCTGGGATGCATGGCATGTGCTGGGATGCATGGCATGTGCTGGGATGCATGGCATGTGCTGGGATGCATGGCATGTGCTGGGGTGCATGGCAAGTGCTGGGATGCATCATGCATGGCACGTGCGACGAAATGATGCATGGCGAAGTGAGGAGTATGCTTGTAGTGTAATTTGTACCGTATGCTTGTGCAGGTGTTAACTGATGTTTCGCCAGCTGAAACAACTGCAGGGGCACTTTAAAATGGTGGGAGAGGGTGGGGTGGGGTGGGGTGCTGTATCCAATCTGAAAATGGGGCGCTGCCACACCCCGGGTATAACAAACAGAGGTGCTTTATTACGCCGGGTCTACTATATGGGGGATTGCGGTGCACCTTGTTCAAGTTTGCAACCTCCCAAATCGCAACACGCTCGTGCAGAGCCCTCGACATTAAAGTTTTAAAAAACTTGACTCGTAACTTGGGCCGCGCGCTTCAATATATGGCATGTCACATTGACAATCCTAACAGTTCCCACCAGCAAAACTTCATCACCATATATACCACATAGCTTCTGAAACATGGTCACAAAACATTGGATTCACCCATCACGTCGCTTGTTGCGCCTCTTGCGCCCCCCCTTATCATCATGCCGCCGTCTGCTCTTGGTGTGCCTCCTCTCGCTGCTGCTGTCACTCCCACAGTAGCCACCCTCACTGCTGCTCCCATCGCTCTCACTGCTGCTCTCATGCCTTCCCCTGTGGTGCTTTCTCCGTGATGCCTTCTTGTGCTTCTTCTTCCTCCTCGCTGCATCATCTGATTCTTCACTTCCTGTACTCCCGCTCTCTCGTCTCTTCGTCCTCTTCCATTGCTTCTTCCCCCCATCAGTCTCTCGTGACCGTTTCTTGCTCCTCTTCTTCACCCCCTCCTTCCTCCTCCTCCTCCCCTCCCCTCCACCAGACAAAGAGCCTGCGCTATCCGAGTCAGACCCCGACGATGCTGATGACGACGACGATGACGTCAGCACACGCTTCTTCTTCTTGACAGCAGCGACAGCTGGAGCAGCGGCAGCAGCAAGTGCGCCCCTTCCTTCCCCCATGGCACCACCCCTCATGCCTCCATGTGCATAACCCATACCGTCTCCACTGCCTCCCCACTCACTCTGCCCCACACGTGCCTCACTCGCCCCGCTTCCACCTGCCGCATTATCACCTCCTTCTCTTGCTCGTTCCGCCTGCCCTGCTTCAACTGCAACCCCTGCACTGCCTGCCATGCCAGCGCCATCACGCCCCTGGCCCCACACACCACCCTCCTGCTCCTTTCCTGCCCTCTCCTTTCCCGCCTTACTCTCCCGCTTCGCACCCTTGCTGCCCTCCCTCTCCTCTCGCCTGCCCTCGCCCCCTGCCCCGCGTCGCACCTCCCCCGGGTCCACCTGCAAGCCCAGCTCCTCGCCCAGCCCCTCCAGGAAGTCACCTGCCTCCAGCCGGGCAAGAGCCCGCGTGGCAGCTTCTGCCGCTGCCACGTCATCAATGCCACCTGGCGCTGCGGATGTGGCACGAGCATCGTCGACGCTGTCTTCATCATCCGAAAAGATTGCCTGGAGCAAAGGGGAGCGTGCAGGGTGGCGGGACAGGTGGAGTTGGAGTCACAAACTCGCAGCAGAGGGCAGTAAGGTGCCAGGGAAACAGAAGCAGGTGACCTGAGTGTTTAACGGAGCACAAATGTAAAATTTTCACGACTACCAAGAGCGATGATAAAAGAGAAAGAGAAAACGGCAAGAGCAGGCGGGGGGCACCTTGAAGAGGTCCATGGGTCGGTTCTCCACCGCCTCCGCTGCTGCCTGCCCCTCCCCCTCCCCCTCCCACACTCCCGCACTTTCCTCTCTCCCCCGTCCTGTATCATCCTCCCCTCCCCCGATCGCTTCCCTCACGTGTCCCTCCTCGTGTCCTTCCATCCACCCATCACGCCCAGGAGGCATGGCAGGCGCAGCAAGAGGAGGCGCAGGGAGGGAGAGGAGAGGCGAGGGGGCAGCAATGGGGGCGGGCATGGTGGAGGGGAGGGTTTGGGGGAAGGAGGTGAGGGTGTCGAGCTGAGAGGGGCGGTGGAGAGGGGGGGGAGGGTGTTAGAATTCAAGAGTAGTTGAATGATGAGCCATTGAGGCTCTATAGTACAAGCATGCAAGCAAGAGAGGGGTGAAGAAGGAGCAAACCCTATTGGCCACTAAGTTGGCCAATGGGGGAGATGCCTTGTGGAGTAGGTAACCCCACAATGTTGCTAGGTTGTGATTGGTAGGCCTTAGGACCAAAAGTTGGCAAGTGCCAACCAAGGACCAAGACCAAACCCAACCTTGACCAACCACAAAATGTGGTTGGAGTGTACACCCAACCCCCCAAGAACATAAAGAGCTACACCATTCTAGCCTATGTATGTTGTATATAAGATACAGTTACAACACAACCCCCCAACAGGCATAAGGCTAGAAAATGGAATCAGGAGGCCGCCAAAACCGGAGGAGGGGTGAGGCCAAGGAGGCGCAGAAGGAAGGAGTGGGACGCCTGGGGAAGGGCTTTGGTGAAGATGTCAGCGAGGTTGGCCGCCGAGTCGATTTTGCCAAGGCGAAGATGGCCGGCCTCAACGAGTTCACGAATGAAAAAGTAGCATAGCTCAATGTGTTTGGAGCGCCCATGATACACAGCATCCTTGGTGAGGTGGATGGTGCTAGCGTCGTCACACCAGATGGTGGGACAGCGTTGGGGGGCTCCAAGCTCATCAAGGAGGAAGGTGAGCCAGCGCGCCTCCTGCGCGGCCATGGTTGCAGCGTAGAGCTCTGCCTCGCAGGAGGAGAGGGCGACGGCAGAGGAGCGTGTGGACCGCCAGCTGATGAGGCCGCTGCCCAGAGAGAAGCCATAACCTTGAGAGGACCGCCGATCCGGTCGAGAGTCAGCCCAGGAAGAGTCGCTGTAGTCGTTGAGGAGGTGTGGGGAAGGGCCGCCAAGGGTAAGGACATAGTCCTTGGTGCCACGAATGTAGCGAAGAACGCGCTTGGCGGCCTGCCAGTGCTCCTCCGTATGCTTGCCAGCGCCAACGAAGCGAGCGAGGACGCTGATGGGGCAGGCAAGGTCAGGGCGAGTAGAGACCATGGCGTACATGAGAGAGCCGATGAGTTCAGGATAAGGAGGGGAGGAGGGAGAGGGAGAGGAGGGTGGGGAGAGGTGGTGCCCGACCGAAAGGGGAGTGGGCTGGGGGTTACCGCGCGCCATTGCAAACCGTTCTAAGACCTACTGGAGGTAGTGGCCCTGAGAGAGAGAGATGGTGCGGGCGGAGCGGTCGCGAGTGATGGCCATGCCGAGGTAGTGCTGCAGCTCTCCCAGGTCTTTGCACTTGAGACGGCTGCCCAGCTCCGTCTTGACAGTCTCGAGCTCGGCAGGATCGGCAGTGAGAAGAATCATATCGTCAACATAGACGAGGATGTAGAAGGGGGAGGGGGAGGTGCGGAGGAAGAGGCTGGCGTCGGAGCGGGAGGTGCGAAACCCAAGCTCGACAAGGGTGGCAGCAAGCTTGGCATGCCATTCCCTGGGAGCCTGGCGGAGCCCATACACCGGGCGGCGCAGCTGCCAGACAGAGTCAGCGGGGAAGGGGAGGTGGAAGCCCGCGGGGCGCTCCATGTAGATCAGTTCACGTAGTACGCCTTGCAGGAAGGCATTGGAGACATCCATCGAGTGGATCTCCATGTTGAGGCGAGCGGCGAGGTCGAGGACGGCGCGAACGGTAGCAGGTTTGGCGGTGGGGGAGAAGGTGTCGAAGAAGTCAAAGCCATACCGCTGCGTGAAGCCCTTGGCGCAATACCGGGCCTTGTAGACGGGCTTGACGCAAAACACCCACTTCCCCTTGACCACGTTCGTAGAGGGGGGAGGGCGAGGCACATCAACGAAGGAGGAGTTGGCAATAAACGCCTCGAGCTCCTTGATGATGGCGGCGAGCCAGAGCGGGGCGTCGGGACAAGCCATGGCCTCCTCATACATGGTTGGGATGAAGGTGGAGGGTGCGGAGGAAAAGGCGAAGACTGGTGTTCCAGAGAGGTCAGAGGTGATGGGAAGGAGGGAGGGGTCAGAGAGGTGGAGGTCAAGGAACTCCTCATGGGAGTCCTCAGAGAGGGAGGTGTGGAAGGCGCGGATGACCGCAGGTGCTGCTGCTGGTGCCACTGTTGATGCCGCTGCTGATGCCGCTGCTGGTGCCGCCGCTGCTGGTGCCGCTGCCGAGGCCGCCGCTGCCGCTGCACTCGCCGCTGCTGGTGCCGTTGCACTTGCCGCTGCTGGTGCCGCTGCACTTGCCGCTGCTGGTGCCGCTGCTGGTGCCGCTGCGGTGGCTGCTGCTGGAGCTGCTGCCACTGCCGCTGCTGGAGAGGTAGTTGAGGGGGCGGGTGCATGAGGGGCTTGATGCAGGACAGCCTGGAAGAAGTGGTGAAGAAGGGGGGAAAGAGGGGGGAGGGTAGAGGTAGAGAGGGTAACAGGGGGCGGTGCACCAAGAATACCGTCGCACGACCTGGTGTGAGGATACCGGGTGAGTGTGGTGCTGGGAGGGGGGGAGGGAGGCGAGGGTTGGGAGGGAGGGGGAGGAGGGGCACTAGGGGAGGAGTGAGCGGGGGAGACAGGGGAAGACAGGGGGTCCGGGTCAAAGATGTCACCAGACGAGGGAGGGGCACCGTGGGACTGGGGGGGGGGGTGGGGGAGAGGGTGGAAGGATGGGGGGAGGAGGGAGGAGAGGGGGAGGGGTGGTGTCAGACCAGACAAGGGGACGAGTCAGAGGTGGGAGTGGGTCAGTGGATGGAGGAGAGGAATAGTATGGGGTGGATTCGTCAAAGACGACATCCCTGCTGCGAATTAGTTGACCGGAGGGGGGGTGGAGGAAAAGATAGTCGGGGGAAGAGGGGTTATGACCAAGGAAGATGCAGGGAAGGGTACGAGGGGCAAGTTTTCCTAGGGAACGGGATCGGTCAGATGGGTGAATGAGGACATATGCCTTTGAGCCCCAGACCCGAAGAGGGGAGACATCGGGTTTGTCCTTTGTCCATAGCTCAGTGGGGGTGGTGGAGGGGAGGAGGGGGTGAGGGTAAAGGTTAGTAAGGAGGGCGGCATGAAGGAGGGCGTAGCCCCACAGAGAAGGGGGGCAGGAGGCGTGGACAAGGAGACACCGAGCCGTTTTGGTGATCTCCCGAACACGGCTCTCAGCAACACCGTTCTGCTGTGGGGAGTGAGGGAGGGTGTAAGTCTGAAGAATGCCGCGGGACTGGCAACAGGAGGAGATCTGGTTGTTAAGGAACTCACCACCACCATCAGAGTGGAGGCGGCAAACAGGGCGCCCAAAGTGGGTGTTTGCCTGTTCGAGCCAGGCAATGATCGCAGTCGGGGCGTCCGCCTTCGTCCGAAGGAGAGAGACGGACAAGTACCGACTGTGATCATCGACGAGCACGAGGAGGTAGCGATGGCCTTGGCGAGTGGGGGAGGGGTTAGGGCCCCAGAGATCCATGTGAACAAGATCAAGTGGCTGGGCTGCAGCGGAGGGGGAGCTCCGGTGCGGCTGCTGCTTGAGCTTGCTCTGAACACAGACGACGCAAGGGGGGGCAGGGGACTTTGGGAGGGGAGGGAGGGAGGAGGGGAGACCGTGGAGGAGACCGGAGGATACAGAGGAGCGCAGAGTGGCGAAGTTGGGGTGACCTAGCCTGTGATGGAGGAGGATAGCAGGGTGGGAGAGGGAGCGACATGAGCAGTCAGAGTCAGGGGGGCGGGGGGGGATGGGTGGGTTAGTGGGAGGGAGGGGAGGAGGGGGGGGGAGGAGGGGGGGGGAGGCAACTTGGAAGGTGAAGGGGCGAGGAACCCGAAGGGTGTATAGACGGGAGCGGTGACAGTAGGGAATGCGGGCGAGGAAGCGACCTGTGGAGGTTTGGAAAAGGTCACAATGGTTAGCACCTCCTGGGGTGACAGTGGTGATCATGGATTGTTGGAGGGACCTTTGGGAAAGGAGGTTAGTGCGAAGGGAGGGAATGTGAAGACCTGTGACGGTACCTGAGGGAAAGAGAGGACAGGGAAGGGTGGACGTGTTGTGACAGGGGATGGAAAAGCTGCTGTCAGCGCCGAGGAGGGACGTGGGTGTGGGGAGAGGATGGAGTTTGCCAGCATCGCGAAAGACATTGTCAGTGGCTCCACTATCCAGGACGAACTCAAGGGTGGAGGAGGGTGAGGCGGAGTACTGAATGGAAGTTTCATTAGTAGCAGGGGCATACATAGGGGATGCAACAGAGGGAGGCTGGCTAAGCAGACCAACAAAGCCAGAGGAGGGAAAGGGGGTCACACTACCACCTGTGGACGGCGCAGGGGAGGGACCGGAGAGGTGGGCCGCAGAGGCTGCATTCCCAGCGGTCCAGCCGGGAAACGGTTGCTGCTGGGGGACAGGAGGAGGAGGGAGGAGAGGAAGCTGAGGCTGGAGGTCGAGCTGCTGCTGGAGCTGCTGAAGCTGCTGCTGGAGCTGCTGAAGCTGCTGCCCGTACTGCTGCGGTCCCTGCTGCTGGACACTCTGCTGCTGCTGCTACTGATGCTGCTGCTGCTGCTGCTGAGAGGGGAGAGCAAAGACCTGGTGGGCCTGGGAGGAGGAGGAAGGAGCGTAGAGGGGAGAGGTGCGAACGTCAAGGGGAGTGGGGCGGGGATTAAGGGCGGACCAGCGAGGAGGGGTGCCAGAGTTCCCACGAGCGAACCACTCATCGCTGAGTGCCTTAAAGCACGTCTCAGTTGCATGAGTGGTTTGGTTGCAGCGTTGGCCTCGGGTGGGGCCATAAAGGGGAAGATACTGACAGGGTGGGAAGGCCGCTGCTGCACCACGACCCGCACCACCACGACCGCCAAAGCCGCCTCGACCACCTCCACGCCCACCTCCACGCCCCCCTCCACGTCCGCCTTTGCCGCTGCGCTGCTGTGCTACCGCGGCAGTGGAGGAGGAGTGGCGAAGGATTTCTGCCTCGGTGGTGATAATCCACTGGGCAACTTGAGCGGGAGTGTCATGTTTGGAGAGGAGTTGCATGTAGGCCAGCTTGTGGGCATCGAAGGCAGGAGTGAGGCCTTCGAGGAGGTGGCAGCAGATGACGGTGTCAGGGTAGGTAACACCAAGTGCTGCAAGGCGGCGAGCAAGGTCAAGGACGCGACGAGTAAAGGCGGCTGCGCCGGCAGTGGAATCCATGGTGATGGATCCAAAGTCCTTGATGAGGGCACAGAGGGTGGCGATGTCCTGCCGGTCAAAGAGGTCGACAAGCAGTTGCCACATGTGGGAGGAGGAGGTGGGTGAGAGTTCTCGCTTGAGGGATGAGGGGATAGTGGCGAGGAGGATGGCGAGAGCTCGACGGTCAGCAATGCGCCACGCAGCGATGTCGGAGGTGTAGCTAGCGAGGCGTGTAGTGTACGTGGTGAGTTGGGCGTGGTAGTCGCGGTGACGGGCAGCAGCCTCGTCGTAGGCGCGCTTGTCGTCCTCATAGCGCTGTTGACGGCGAAGGTGGTCGTTGAGTGTGTTGCGGTAGGCACGGATGGCAGTTTCCAAGCTTTGAGGATTGTTGACATCCGGTGCGAAGGAGGGAGGATCACCAGGGGACTCGGGCTCAGGTCCGGGCTCATCAGGAGGAGGTCCGGTGGGGGCAGAAGAGGCGATGGGCTGGAGTCCGCCTTCCTCCTGGAACACGACGGAGCGGAGTGTATAACCACTGACGATGACCGAGGAGAGCAACACCTCGACGGAGTGAGCATAGGAGTGCCAGTTGGCGGCCGAGTTGTCGCCGAGCAGCTCGAGGGCGTCAATGGTCGCTAGATCGACCGAGGAGTCGGATGACGCCATGACGGCGGAGGGGTGAAGGCGCCGCTGCTGCTGTTGGTATTGGTGCCACCGCTGCTGCTGCCGCCGCCGATGCCGCTGCTGCTGCCGCCGCCGATGCCGCTGCTGCTGCCGCCGCCGATGCCGCTGCTGCTGCCGCCGCCGATGCCGCTGCAGCTGTCGCCGCCGATGCCGCTGCAGCTGCCGCCGCCGATGCCGCTGCTGCTGCCGCCGCCGATGCCGCTGCTGCTGCTGCTGGTGCCGTTAGGGGTGGAGTAGGGGGAGGAGGTAGAGGGGAAGAGAGGCTGGTGCGGAAGTGCGGGGAGGAATTAGGGTTTCGAGGTCGTGGAGATCGCGGGCAGGCGAACGCGACGGCGGGCAGATCAGCCGCGGCTGCGCGCCAGCCGTCCACGTCGGCGCAGGGGCGTCGACGACCGCGCGCTGGCCGTCCGCGGTGGCACGCGGTTCTTTCGTGGCCGCGCGCTGGCTGTCCGCGTCAGCACGCGGCTCGTCGGCGGGGCCGCGCTGGCAGTCCGCGTCAGCGCGCGGGTCGTCGGCGGGGCCGCGCTGGCCGTCCGCGTCAGCGCGCGGGTCGTCGGCGGGGCCGCGCTGGCCGTCCGCGTCAGCGCGCGGGTCATCGGCGGGGCCGCGCTGGCTGTCCGCGTCAGCGCGCGGGTCGTCGGCGGGGCCGCGCTGGCCGTCCGCGTCAGCGCGCGGGCCGTCGGCGAGGCCGCGCTGGCCGTCCGCGGCAGCGCGCTGGTCGTCGGGGGTCGCGCGCTGGCCGTCCGCGGCGGTCGCAGGTCGTCCGCGTCGCCGCGCTGGTCGTCCGCGTCGGCGCGGAGGTCGGACGCGTCAGCGGGCAGATGGAGGCGTGGCGGCGGGAGGAAGGATTGCTGCCACGGGGGAGCGGATAGGGGCTGCGGGAGGGAGGATAGAGGCCGCGGGAGGGAGGATTGAGGCCGCGGAGGAGGAGATCTACGCCGCGGAACGCTAGATCTGAGGTGCGGGAGGCGGAACTGAGCCGCGGGAGGCAGAACTGAGCCGCGGGAGGCTAGATCTGAGGAGCGGGTGGGCGGATGTAGGTCATAGTCCGCTAGGGTAAGGGAGCGGGGAGGAAATTACAACATGAGGATCGAGGGAAGGTGGCGTGAGCCATTTGGCTCTGAATACCATGATAGAATTCAAGAGTAGTTGAATGATGAGCCATTGAGGCTCTATAGTACAAGCATGCAAGCAAGAGAGGGGTGAAGAAGGAGCAAACCCTATTGGCCACTAAGTTGGCCAATGGGGGAGATGCCTTGTGGAGTAGGTAACCCCACAATGTTGCTAGGTTGTGATTGGTAGGCCTTAGGACCAAAAGTTGGCAAGTGCCAACCAAGGACCAAGACCAAACCCAACCTTGACCAACCACAAAATGTGGTTGGAGTGTACACCCAACCCCCCAAGAACATAAAGAGCTACACCATTCTAGCCTATGTATGTTGTATATAAGATACAGTTACAACATAGGGGCCTGTTGTGGAGGGACCACGGCAAAGGAGAAGAGAAAGGAGGGAGAAGAAAGCCGTGTGAAAAGGTGAACAAGTGGATCACTGTGCTGTGACCGGGTTGACTGCAGAGAATCGAACGGGTGTGAGGCACAGAACTGCAGCGTGCAAGCAGAGTGAACCACTTGGGCGGCAGGCATGGTAGTGGGACCAGCCGGGCAGAATACACGGGGGGAGGAAGAAGGGGAGTGGACGTGTGGGAAGCAGCAGGAAGCAGCAGGGAAATCTGGTGGCAGGCAAGCAGAGACGTGCTAGCCGACCAGTGCATGCATCAAGGAAGGAACTGGTTGCCACCAAACGACAACACACGGCTTCCAACAACGTCACCTGTCTGTGGGCTGCCTCACAGGCTTAGTTGGAAGATTTCTGCAACATCAGTGTCGCAGCCTTTTTTCCCTCTCTGTTTCCCAGTCAGCCCGTACGCACTACGCATTTTCACATGACACACAACTTTCAATGAGGTCACATGTACTATGCAAACATATGAGATGCCCAACTGAGCCCACGGGGTGGCACGGCCATCTCACCTTGCCCGCATACGGGTCGGGCAGGTTGAAGCGCTTGCACAGCAGAGGCAGCGGCCTCCATGCCTCCTCCCTCCGCCGAGCCACCACCACTGCTGCCGCCCCTGCCAGCGCTGTGTCTGCCCCGGGTGCAGCAGGCAGCGCCGCCTTCTCCGTGCTCATGCCGCCCTTGCCCGCCTGGTCCTCGTGCCCACTGCTGTGGAAGCGTGCTGTCATCATTGCTGCCAGCTCAGCTGCCGCCCCGTGCTGCTGGAAGGCCGGCGCAGTGGGGGCGGGGGGAGCAGCAGGAGATGCGGCAGAAGTAAAGGCAGAAGCTGCAGCAGCAGGAGAGGCGGTTGAGGTGGGTGTGGGGTGCGCTGATAGACGTGGAGCAGGGGCAGGCTGGGAGGAAGGCAGCGGCTGCTCGCCCAGCAGCACGCCCCGCGCATCAGGCCCTAGGTGCTCCCCCCCACTGCTCCCCACCGCCTTGCCCGCTGCTGCCCTGCCCTGGGCGGCCCTCTGCCTCTCCGCCAGCTCCCACACGCGCCGCCGGTAGTACGCACTGCCCTCCCCGCCCACCACAAACGCCAGCCGCGCACTGCCCTCTCCTCCCCCTTCCTCCCTCGCGCTTGCGCCCTGCACCATGCCTTCCCGCGCCCCTTCCCCCACCCCTCCCCCTGCCCGAGACAGCAGCAGCGTGCGCCCCACAGCGCGCCACCATGGCCGCCACGCCCTCCACCCACGGCCGCACCGCCGCGCCTGCGGGGGGAGGGGCTGGCGGCGGGGCGAGTGGGGAGGGCGCTGACATGGCGGAGGGGGGTGGGGAGGAGGGGAAGACGTGGTGGGGGGTGAAGGAGGAGGGCACGTGGGGGGGGGGGGGTACCTGGAGGGTGGGTGGGTGCGGGGGTGGGAGGGAGGGTGGGAGGGAGGACAGCAGCACGTGTGTGAAAAGGCGTGGTTGGTTGACAGTGAAGCCGTGTGGGTGGAAGTGAAGCAGTGGTTGGTTGACAGTGAAGCAGTGTGGGTGGAAGTGAACGGGGACTTGCAGCTAAGGAAAGAAGCAGTGCGGTGGGCAGGGAGCAAGGCTCGTGGTGGGCAGGGAGCAAGGCTCGTGGTGGGCAAGGAGCAAGGCTCGTGGTGGGCAGGGAGCAAGGCTCGTGGTGGGCAGGGAGCAAGGCTCGTGGTGAGCAGGGAGCAAGGCTTGTGGTGGGCAGGAAGGCATGTGGCAGAGGCAACAGAAGCAACAGCACACACATTGGGCTGCAGTGAGTGTGGGTGAGGCAAGGGGAGGGCAGGCAGCAGTACCATTTGCATTCCTCCAGCGCCACGCGCCCCTCACAGAAGCCCCGCAGCACAGCGGCGCCGCTCCCACGCCCCACCCCTCCCATCCACGCCATGCCCTGCTGCGCCCCTCCTTGCGCCCCCTGCTGCCCCCCCTGCTGCCCGCGCCTGCCTGCGGCCATGAAACCCCCGCCAGCATGCACGCCTCGCCCCTCCCCCTCCTCGTCCTCGTCGCTCGCCACCTCGTGCAGCTCGCCCGCCGGTATCTCTGGAGGGCGCACAGGGGGAGAGGGTGCACGGGGGGAGAGGGCGCACGGGGGGAGAGGGCGCACGGGGGGAGAGGGCGCACGGGGGGAGAGGGCGCACGGGGGGAGAGGGCGCACGGGGGGGGAGGGCGCACGGGGAGGGAGGGCGTGCGGGGGGAGAGGGCAAGGGGGTGAGCGCAGTGCGCATGAAGAACAGGGCAGAGTGAAGGAGGAAAGCAAGAAGGAGTGCTCACATGGTAACGTGCCACCATGGTAACGTGCCACCACATGCAGTCAACCTTTTCTTTGCACAACAACACACTCTCGCTCCTCACCCACCACCACCGAACTCCACCGCACAGCATCTCACCGGAGTCGTAGATATCTTCATCCTCAGCCCCAGCCTCCTCCAGAGCCCCGATGCCAAACCCCCCCGCCACCCGCCCACTGCCCGCCGCAAACAGTGACTGCCTGCCACCACCCGCCCTGCGCCGCCCACCCAGGCCCCTCTCTCCCCCCCTCTCCCCTCCCTCCCTCGCCCCCCCTGCCGTCCTTTGCCTGTGCTCTGCTCCCACTCCCCAGAGAACAGAGAGGCGGGCGAGGCAGGGAGGGGGAAGGCGGGAAGGCTGGAAGCAGGGACGAGGGAGTTGTAGTGAGCAATGAGAGTGGAACGGGGAGGAGAAAGAGCTACAGTGGTCCTTGCAAGCATGGCAGACAGTATTACCAAGGGGACATTCCACATATGGCAGTCATTGCAAGTATGCCAGTCACCACCACTCTGCACGCCTCACCACCCCTCTGCACGCCTGCAAGTTGCCAAATACGCTCAGGACACTGTGCGTTTAGCGGATATACGCTAGCGTTTACACGCTAAACGCTAAACGCAAGCTAATACGCTATACGCTTGCCAAAATTTTTTGGGGCAGCCCGACCAAAAAAATGTGAATATACGGAAAGATGCGGAATTGCACGACGAGCATTTTGCCACCGTCAAAATTCACGTCCGCGATTTGCGCAAGGGTGAACGGCGATTTCCGCGCTGATCGGCAATTTCCCTTCCGCGTTGATCGAAGGTTCTTCCCGCAGAAGGGATGGGGGGAAAGACTCTCCCTAGAACAACGTCTTGTAGATCTGGACTGGAAGGAAGTGACGTGACAACTGTACAAATTTCAAGTATCAAATTGGTTGGATGAGATAGATGCAATGCGGTGAAGATAGGTGATGGGAGGGGGAATTCCAGTATCAAATTGGTTGGAGGCAACATTGGCGATGTGTGGGGCACGAATTCCAGCATTGGCGACGGTTTCCCTGTCCAAGATCTCTCCTACGCCTCCTCCTACACTCTAGCAATCATGCCTTGTGATTGCGAGCCCGAAGCAGAGCAGATACGCGCAACGCTATTGCAATCTATAGCCTACGAACTCTGCATCTTAACCCGATTTCGGGCCGAGTCTAGGGTGGTTATCTTAGTATGGAGAAAAACTTACCTCTGAAACATAACCCCTTAGATCCCCCCCACCTATAACAGCCCAGGCGGATTTTTTCCCCTGCCCGGGAAAGTTTTTTCCCTGCCCCAAAAAGCGTATGTCCAAATCGCTCCCATACGCGTATAGCGTATATACGCTAGCGTATATACGATACGCCTATATACGCTATAAGCGTATTTTGCAACTTAGACTCACACATCCTCAGCGCCCTGGAAAGCATCGAAGCCCACACCCCGGGTGTCCCGCTTGGGCGCCCACAGCTGCGCCGCCACCGCCGCCTCTGCTGCCGCTGCTGCCGCCAACGGCCCCCCGTCCTTGCCGCCCCTTGCCCCCCTGCCCTTCCCCACAATCTCCCCTCGACCCCCCCATACGTCCCCCTCCTCGCCATCCTCCTCCCCCTCTGCCTCCCCCTCCTCGTCTCCTCCCCCCGCCCCGCGCCCTCTTCCTCCCACTGCCAGCGCCAGCATTGCCCGCCTGCCCTCACGCTGCACCTTCCTGGAAGCTGCCACTCAGAAAGTTAAAACGAGAATGAATGAACTATGAGTGAAGTGGGTACAAGTACTAACCCTAATTGGGTTGTACCCCCTATGGGATACCCCACTACAGCCTACACAAAAGCATAAGCTATAATGTTCTTACACACCCCCATAGGCAAAGTGGGGGAGAACAGGGGGTCACAAGACCAGTCAAGCAAAGCAAAACAAAGCAAAGCTCAGGGTGGATCACAAAGTCACCACACATTCCGAGCACAAGTACAAGGCCACAAGGCTAGTTCACATGCAGGAGTACATATATATAAGGCTAGACAAGCAAGAGCAGGTATATATATATGTAACAGTACAAGCAAGGTCAAGAGGTAAGCAAGTGAGGCAAGACAGGGACAAGACCCAACTGAGTGCAGAAGCGGTGATGATCACAAGGCGGAAGTGCCTTGGTGAAAACATCAGCAGTGTTGGCCTCAGAGGCCACGTACGCAAGCCACAACTGTCCATGCTGCTGTAGCTCACGAGCAAGGAAGTAGCGGGGAGCAATGTGCTTTGTTCTGTGCTCCAGTCGCTGCTCGCGACACAAGCCAGCATGACCTTGTTGTCTACGTACAACACTGGAGGAGAACGAGGCGGCTCTCCGAGGTCAGTCAGCAGGTAGGTGAGCCAGCGTAGCTCCTGTGCAGCCATGGCCCCAGCGTAGATCTCAGCCTCACAACTGGAGCCGAGAACAGAAGACGAGCGAGTAGCCCGCCACGAGAGAGAGCCGGAACCAAGGCTGAAGGTGTAACCATGTGACGACCGCTGCGTAGCCTGGTCGTCAGCCCAAGAAGTGTCTGCGTGCCCAGTGAGGACCACTGGACTGCGCCCTCCAAGCACTAGCCCCATGCCCGACGTACTGCACAAGTAGCGCAACACCCTCTTCGCTGCAGCCATGTGCTCTGGTCGGTGTCTCCCAGTAGCAACATAGCGTGCGAGAATGCTAAGAGGGTATGCAAGGTCAGGTCGTGTGCAGGTCATCAGGTACATGAGGCAGCCAACAAGCTCTGGATACGGGCCACTCGACTCTACGGACTCATCCGAAGGCAGAGCTGAGAGCGAGTGGCGAGTAGACAGAGGAGTGGCCTGAGGCGAGGAGTACGTGAAGCCGAAGCGCTGAAGGACCTGCTGCACCATGTGTGACTGAGTCAGGGTAATGGTGCGGCGTGCTCTGTCCCGGGTGATCTGCAAGCCAAGGTAGCTGCGCAGTTCACCCAGGTCTGTGCACGTGTGTCTCTTCTGCAGCTCGGACTTCACGTAGGCGAGTCCAGCAGTGTCAGCTGTGGCAAAAACCAAGTCGTTGACGTACTCGAGGATGTAGAACGGCGGCAGAGAGGTGTCGGTGCGTAGAAACAGCGACGGGTCAGCAGTAGAAGGAGCAAACCCAAGAGCCGCAAGTGTAGTCCTCAGTGTGTCGTGCCACTCACGTGGCACCTGGCGGATACTGTAAACTGGACGCCGGAGGCTCCACTGGGTACCAGGAGGGAACGACCCAGTGAAGCCAGGTGGGCGGCGCAGCCAGATCTCCTCGTGCAGGCTGCAGTGCAAGAAAGCTGTGCTAAAGTCGAGAGAGTGCAGCTCGTAGTCACGGTGAGCAGCAACATGCAGCAGTACCCGAAGAGTGGTCATCTTCAGCGTGGGAGAGAAGGTATGAAAGTAGTCAACTCCCTGCCGCTGACTGAAGCCACGAGCCACGTAACGTGCCTTGAAGACAGGCGGAGAACACGGCGGCCGCTTCACTCTGAAGATCCACATGCCACTGACGATGTTCGCCCCAGGCCGGGGAACCTCGTCAACGTAGGTGCCTATGGACTTCCAGGAAGCCATCTCTGTGTCCATAGCTGCCTGCCACTAAGAGGAGTAGGGACCCTCTATCGCCTCCGCGTAGGAGCGCGGAGTCGGATGTCAAATGCATCCGGGTCTCCCTCAGGGGTAAGCAGTACGGACACGAGATGAGGTGAAGCAGCTGCCAGACACTGGAACTCCTCCTGCCTGTCCTCAAGGACGTCCGTGCCAAGGGCACACTCAACCCTCACGTGTTAGAGACTGAGGACGGAGTCTATGAAGATTAGTAGCCAAAATATCTCAACATCGTTGGGCCTAGTTTCTGAACAGAAAAGTCGAGTTCACAAGAAACGCCGTCGACGAAACGTTCACTGTCAAAACTTCATCAAACTCGAATATGTTGTAGCTCTACGCGGTGGCTACAATTCCCAAGTTGAATCATGCGAAAACGTGAAGTATTTCTTGAGCTATCAATTTCGGCGCACTAGGGGGTATGCTGCCATAGAATCTTAACTCAATCACAAAGTTCACACAAGTTCACACAAGAGAATTGGAGTAGCACTAAACCAGGTGGAAGGGATGAGGAGGACGAGAGGGAAGGTCCCAAGAGAGTCCCCAATCAAGGAAACCCCATGCCATACAATTCCCTTCCCCATAGGCAACCCAACTTTGACCTTTGTCACTATCCCAACCTCCACAATCCACCTCAACCCAACTTGGCCACACTTGCCAGCCTGGTTTGGTTTCTCCCAACCATTTGGCAGCAACTATAGTAGAAAAGACGAATTTCCCAACCCTCAAAAGTCTGTACCCCATATTGAGTCAACCCCACAACTTCCCATAGTCACCACAACCAAATATCAAAAGCATACGAACTCCAACGTTCGTAACTTTCTTGTTCGTGCTCCGATTGAAGCGATACTTGGTTCCTCGGAAAGCTCTTGAGCAGAGGAGTCACTTCAGATATCTGCTCAAGCCAAATAACATTCACACACACACACACATACTCAGAAAAACCAAACCGCACAAAACACAAATTTCTGCACACACTCACAACACGCATGCAACGCACGAACATATGATGGGAGGCAGACAGACGTGAATGCGAATGGTAGCATCACTCAACAAACTCACCCTCTGGCTGCCAACCATCATCCCACATGTCATAGCTCAAGCATGCAACCTCAATGCACACTCATCCCAGCAAGCTTCATGCCCTTCCAATGCTCAGATTCAGCCAGGCGCTTGGTGAGAATGTCAGCCGCCTGCTGATGGGTCTTCACAATCTCCAGCCGCACCTCCTTGTCCAGGAGCCTTCTCACCCAGTGCCACTTAGGCCTGATGTGTTTGGTCAGCCCATGAAGACAAGCATTCTTCGCTATCTTCACCGCCGACTCATTGTCACAGAAAATCACAGTCGGCTCCCTCTGAACAACTCCAATCTCCTCCAACAAACGCCTCAGCCACACCACCTCCTTTGCCCCATGATGCAGGGCCATGTACTCTGTCTCACACGAGGACTGCCCCACTTCATTCTGCTTCTCACTGCGCCAGCTCACTGCACCACCTCCGAACAGGCACACATAGCCTCCAAT